TATGGAGAAGTATATACCCTTTCTGCTACCGTATTTTTCCATGTATAAGACTATACTTTTGTCTAAAATCTTTAGACTAAAAATTGAGGGTCGTCTTATACATGGAAGTAAGCTGAGGAGAGAACATAAACAAGTGGAGGGAAAAGCAGGGATCAAAGTGATCCTGCAATGCTTTGATCCCCTTCCCCCTACACTTGCTAAGCCCCACTTAGATTTCTTAATTTTGGATTAGAAAAGTGGGGAGCGTCTTATACATGGGGGGGTCTTATACATGGAAAAATACGGTAGATGACTCAGTAGTTTAGGTCACTGGCTGTGGAACCAGAGGTTGGGAGTTCGATTCCCCACTAGGCCTCCTAGACAGGGGCTGGACTGGATGATCCACGAGGTCCCTTCCCACTCTGCTGTTCTAAGAGGAGGATGATAAAGAAGAGAGATTATCATGACTTGTTAATGAGGAAAGCTGGCCCAACATAGTTTTTGCTGCCTGAGGCAAAGGGCAGGCTAGTGCCCCTGGCCCATTCCACCTATGGAAGCTAAGCCGATTGGATGTTGGATCTTACTTCAGGCATTTGTTATGACAGCGTTCTCCAGTGTGCCTCAAGGCAGCGGCTGACGAGCATAGAGATTCACATACACAGCTCTGCGTTTCAGCTTCTTGCTGCTGCTGCTGCCCCACTCCGTCACATCTGCCACCTGAGGCAGCTGCTTCACTCTGCCTCGTTGCAGAGCCGGCTTGGGGCCTTCTCCACCCATTCCCAAAGGGACTCAGTCTATTCCAGATGCGAGTGCCTTATTCCTCTCTAGGAATCCTCTCTAGGGCAATTTGGTCCTTGTTGTTGTTACCTGCGGTCAGGTTGCCTCCAACTTAGAGTGACCCTATGAATGAGCAATCTCCCGACAGCCCCATCCTCAACAGCCTTGCTCGGCTCAAGACGATAGCCTCCTTTTTTTCCCCCAACTTTTGACAGCTGTCAAAATCTGACAGCTCCATTATTTCCTATGGGGGAAGAAAAAATTCACAAAAAATTAATGAAGACTCGGCACCTGTTCTAAATTCTTGGGTTCGTTAGAGGACCCCCTAAGTTGTGTGCAAACCTGATTTGGCTTTGATCTGACTTTTCGTTAATTAATGGTGAATTTTTTTCCCCCAACTTTTGACAGCTGTCAAAATCTGACAGCTCCATTATTTCCTATGGGGGAAGAAAAAATTCACAAAAAATTAATGAAGACTCGGCACCTGTTCTAAATTCTTGGGTTCGTTAGAGGACCCCCTAAGTTGTGTGCAAACCTGATTTGGCTTTGATCTGACTTTTCGTTAATTAATGGTGAATTTTTTTCCCCCAACTTTTGACAGCTGTCAAAATCTGACAGCTCCATTAATTCCTATGGGGGAAGAAAAAATTCACAAAAAATTAATGAAGACTCAGCAACTGTTCTAAATTCTTGGGTTCGTTAGAGGACCCCCTAAGTTGTGTGCAAACCTGATTTGGCTTTGATCTGACTTTTCGTTAATTAATGGTGAATTTTTTTCCCCCAACTTTTGACAGCTGTCAAAATCTGACAGCTCCATTATTTCCTATGGGGGAAGAAAAAATTCACAAAAAATTAATGAAGACTCAGCAACTGTTCTAAATTCTTGGGTTCGTTAGAGGACCCCCTAAGTTGTGTGCAAACCTGATTTGGCTTTGATCTGACGTTTCGTTAATTTTTTGTGAATTTTTGTTTTTTGGCCCATAGGAACCAATGGACCTGTCAAAAGCTGGGGGGAAAAAATTCACCATTAATTAACGAAAAGTCAGATCAAAGCCAAATTAACTTTTGCATCCGTTTTAGAGGGTGCAGAAGCTAATCCAAGCATTTAAAACCATTTTTGACCCTTTTATGACACACTTAATTTTGCAAAAATTGACTTCGCAAAGCCATTGAAACCTATTGAGTCAGCTACAATACATTCCAATGGAGGATACATTGTATCGTTTAACGATGTTTCCTATGGGTTTTTTCGCTTAAGGATGGCAATCCGTGCCTATTGGAACGGATTAACCGGTTTCCAATGCATCTCTATGGGAAATGGTGTTTCGCATAAAGTTTTTTTCGCATAAGGTGTTTTTTTTTGGAACCAATTAAAAACGTTATGCGAGGCACCACTGTAATCTATTTTCTTCCTATTAGCGTTCTTCACTGCCCAGCTTTCACATGCATACGTAGTAATTGTGAATATAAGAGTAGGGATTTTTAGTGGGTGGGGAATGTTTGGGGAATTTTTATGTGTGTGCATGTGGGTCTGGTCTCTGGGTGCCTGTGTGAATTTCGGTGTATGGGTATACCATGCATATACTTACAATGGCAATAAATTACATTATTATTATTGGATGATCTTGGTCTTGGTCTCCAATAACACACATCCTTACACTTCATGATCTTTTCTAATACCTTCATTGCTGTCCTTTCAAGTCTCAGTCTTCATCTGATTTCTTAGTGGCAGTCTCCAAAATCTTTAACAACTCCAATTTCTTCACCATCAGCATAAAGATTGTGTAGTTCTTCTGTAGTCGTGAGAAGGACATTTATCACCCCTTTTTAGATACCAGGGTGAAGAGATGAAAATTCAGCCCATTCTAGCGGAAGTGACGTTTCAGTCTCCAAAATCTTTAACCATTCCAATTTCTTCACCGTCAGCATAAAGGTTGTGTAGTTATTCCGTAGTCGTGATTTTTGTCTTCCTAGCATTCAACTGCAGTCCTGCTTTGACACTATCTTCTTTCACTTTCCTCAGAAGCTGTTTCAAATCATTGCTGCTTTCTGCCTTTCGTTCCTTGTATTCCCAGCAACATATCATGTCCCCATCACTTCCTTCTTCACTTATGACAAACATGTCCAGAACATCAGTTTGAAAGAGAGAAAGGATATGTTCCAGGGTCAACCAGTAAGCTTCTTCCATGGCTGAGATTTGGCCCTGGAAAAGGCATAAAAGAGAAGAGGGTTGGGATGCCCATTTAAGACACCACTTAAGTTAATTTTCTAGGAAATGTGGGGAATTCAAACGCTGTGTGAGAACAGTGGAGAAGTGGCATACTTTTTTTTGAAGTAACTTTTACAACATACTAATGCCTCTATGTCTTGTTGGTTTGGACATGGCTATCTTCAGTGGTCTGCTAAGTGATCCACCCTCATTCAGATTTCCCGGCTACTCATATTTGTCCAGGGTCACAAACTGAAAATTGAGCATCTCAGCCCTGCTGAGCTGGAAAATCTTACTTCTCAATTACCAAATGTTATATGTAGCAGGAAGCAGCAAGACCTGGTGGAAACTGAGGTGTTGGCTTAGATGCATCCAAATTATAACTTCCCCTCTTTGTTCAATCCGCTGAAATTGTTTGGCTAACTTTTCATCTCGGTTTCAGCTCTTAACCTTGAAGAGATATGGAGATTTCAAATATATATTTCTCCTCTCCTGGGGTCACTTGTGGGCAAGTGCTTGGGAGTTTATCAGCATTCATCAAATCTGTCTAGAAGCTGGCGCCAAGGACTATTCAGCCTGCTTGGATTTCAGGCCTAACTTAGAAATAAAGGCTTCCTTTATTTCCAGCAAAGGAACATTGCAAATAAGGGAGTACACAACTGTGGAAAGCTCTCTAGGCTGAATGGTCACATCCAGAATCTTGCTTGAGTGGTATAATAAATGTATAATTTGAAAAAAAAAAGGTTTGAAGAGAAATTTTGGGCTCTATTTCCTAAGAAATATCAACAACCTCAGATATGCAGATGGTACCACTCTGATGGCAGAAAGCGAGGAGGAATTAAAGAACCTCTTAATTAGGGGAAAAGAGAGCACAAAAACCAGTCTGAAGCTCAACATCAAAAAAGCCAAGATCATGGCCACTGGTCCCATCACCTCCTGGCAAATAGAAGGAGAAGCTATGGAGGCAGTGACAGATTTTACTTTCCTGGGCTCCATGACCACTGCAGATGGTAACAGCTGCGACAAAATTAATAGATGCCTGCTTCTTGGGAGGAAAGCGATGAAAAACCTAGACAGTATCTTAAAAAGCAGAGACTTCACCTTGCCGACAAAGGTCCACATAGTCAAAGCAATGATTTTTCCAGTAGCGATGTATGGAAGTGAGAGCTGGACCATAAATAAGGCTGACCGCCAAAGAACTGATGCTTTTGAATCGTGGTGCTGGAGGAGGCTCTTGAGAGTCCCCTGGACTGCAAGGAGAATAAACCTATCAATTCTAAAGGAAATCAACCCTGCGGGCTCACTGGAAGGTCAGATCCTGAAGCTGAGGCTCCAATACTTTGGCCATCTCGCGAGAAGAGAGGACTCATTGGAAAAGACCTTGATGTTAGGAAAGTGTGAAGGCAAGAGGAGAAGGGGATGACAGAAGACGAGAAGGTTGGACAGTGTCATCGAAGCTATGAACATGAATTTGACCCAACTCCGGAAGGCAGTGGAAGACAGGAGGGCCTGGCGTGCTCTGGTGCATGGTGTCACGAGGAGTCAAACATGACTTGATGACTAAACCACCACCACAACTATATTTGTTCTCAAATAGTACAACAGTTCAGCTGATGCCCAATATAACACCCATATTAAACTGTCTATCCGGTTCTGGACTGTTCGCTCTCTTTCCTTTCCCACTCAAAAGGAGGATGCTGGCTATGTTTGCATTTCCTGTTGAGTTTTCTGGTCACCATGGGGATTGCCCTGCTTTAACCTGCACCCCACCCCATGTAGCTGGCCATCAAATAATACAAAGACAAGTTCTCTCGTTCTGATTTGTACATTAAAATAAGTGAGTTGGAGGAGAAATTGAGTCTGCATCGAGCCCAGTAAGTAGAAAAGGAGACCCACTGGGGAATCGAACACCCAACTTCTGGCTCCACTAAACCCCTGAGCTATAATAATAGCAGCCTTTGAACTGCACAGCTGGAAGGGACCCTGTCCCAGCACCCTACTCTGGAAAATATGGCCAGAATTATTTAGCTTGACCTATCTTCTAGTTGTTCAGATTTTTCGAAAAAAAAGATAGGTAAGAAAGAACAAGATACACTGCTTTTCGTTGCTCGCTTTTTACTCCTTGGTAGTAGGACGAAGGCAGTGGAAGACAGTGGTGCCTCGCTTAACGAGCGCACCGCATAACGATGAAATCGCATAGCGATCCGTTTTTTCGGATCGCTAATGCGATCGCTTAACGTTTTTTGAATAGGGCTAAATTCGCTTTGCAAAGACCGGTAAGCGTTTCACTTACCGATCTTCGCAAAACGAAGCCCGACGATCAGCTGTTCGGCGGCCAAAATGGCTGCCGGAAGCCCGGAAATGGCCCAAAATGGCCGCGCGCAGCGTTTTCGCGCCCTCGTTAAGCGAGGCGAGGGCGCGAAAATGGCTGCCGGCCATTACGAAGCTTCGTTGAACCGTGAGTATTTGGCCCATTTGGAACGCATTAAACGATGTTTAATGCGTTCCAATGGGTTTTTTTGATCCGTTCAACGATGCTTCAGCATAGCGAAGGTTAATCCGGAATGGATTACCCTCGCTATGCGAGGCACCACTGTATATTTAAAGTGTGTCTTGTTCAGCTCTCTTTGAACAGCTGAGGAAAGCACAGCTCTCCTGGGCAAGACAGCGGCTTAGGAATCTTGTAAGTGACATTATTGGTTTTAATTTGCTCTGTAAGTTTTCCACTCTCTTTTACAGGGGCTGCTTTCTCCGGCGTTGGATTTCGACCGCTCGGGAAGTGACCCAGAACTTTCAGGATCTCTTCTCCATGGCAGACGCCCTGTGATAGAGCAGACAGAATCTCAGCTGTCGGTTTAACAGGGACAGATAACGGGGATGGAATGTGCAAACCGAGAGAAACCCAGTAAAAATACATGGTGGATTTTTCTTCAAGGAACCCTGTGCTCTTCTTGGAGTTAGAAATGATGCGTGTAACAACCAGGGGATTTCAGCCAACTGGAGACTTAATTAAGGGTCACTAGGAGGCGCTAATCTATTAATGATTTTTGTTGGAATGCATGTTCTCCGTATGAATTCTGGGGAGTACAGTCTGAGTATTCTGGTGGACAGAAGATTCTGTTTTGCAATGTATTTTTGTCTCCTGAGTTCATTCAAGCAGATGCTGGAGCATGTTGAATGAACATTTCTGGCTGACCAGCCACTGGTGGGTCTGGTTTGGACTATAAGAGTATAAAAACTCTGCATCCTTTTTAAAATAAGGATCAAGATAGCTGGTCAGGAAGGTCGTTTGAAACATTTATAAATGCACAGATGGTTTGTAAATAAGCAAACGGGTGTTTCAAAGCAAGCTTTGGGGGATGATCTTGTCTCACCTTTTTTTACTCCTTTTTATAAGAAGCGTAATAAATATTTGATATTTAAGCATCTCTGGAAGCTGTTCTTGTGGGTTTGAATGGTTTCTGGGATCTGTTGTAAGATCTGAGTTCATTTGCTCCTGTCTTGGAATGGCGGGGAGGGACATGGTGGCATTGCAGGTTAAACCGCAGAAGCCTCTGGGCTGCAAGGTCAGAAGACCTGAAGTCATAAGATCGAATCCGTGCGAGGGAGTGAGCCCCGGTCACTTGTCCCAGCTCCTGCCAACCTAGCAGTTTGAAAGCATGCAAAAATGTGAGTAGATAAATAGGTATCACCACGGTGGGATGGTAACAGCGTTCCGTGTCTAGTCGCGCTGGCCACCTGACCACGGAAACTGTCTTCGGACAAACGCTGGCTCTATGGCTTGGAAACGGGGATGAGCACTGCACCCTCAAGTTGGACACAACTGGGCTAAATGTCAAGGGGAACCTGGAATGGAAACTATTTTCTAATGTTGGGTGAGAACCTTCTCGCTCTCTAGGTGTTGACAAACTCCCACTGCTATCATGCAGCATGGGCTGAGACCTGATGGAAACTGGAGTTATACAAGCCCCCCCCCCTGTAAACACTGCAGCCTTCTGTAAGGGGTACGGACAACCTCCAGCTTTTATGACTTCCCCAGTGTTAACCAGTGCTGTCCGCTAGTGTTCAAAGCATAGTTTTGGAACCTCAGCAGTTGACTCACTTGGAAGTCGGACATCAAAGGAAGCCAGGAAGGATGGAAGGAATGGAGGAGCAACCAAGACAGCGTAGGGTGGACTGGGAAAGGGAGAAGACAGCTGAGGAAAACAGAAGGAGCAAGGAAGGCAGTGGAGCGATGTGTCTGAATCCTGGTGTAGAGAACAGCATCGCCTTGCTTTTCCAGATGCCCAATATCCAAGCAAGGGAGGGAACCGGAATTCTGTGTTTTAACAAAAATCCTATCTTAGGCACAAAACTCCAATTTGCATGCTTTTATGTAACGGTTTCCGAAATGCAAATTTGTAATATGATTTTATCCTGCTCCCCAAACCCCAGCATCCCCGCTGCTATGGGGCCTACCTCGTATTTTGTTCTTTGAATTAATTCATGAATATGTGATAGAACTGCATAAGTTCCTGGGAATCAGCTGCAAGCTGGAGCAGACAGTATCTGAATCTAAGAAGATCATCTCTAGGGCCAGCAGTTGATTTCCACAAGGACCAACCTGTTGCCTGTGGGAAGCCCACCAGCAACATAGGAAGGGAACTGCATCCTTCACTGTGTGTTCCCCATCAACAGCTGTTCAAAGGCATACCACCTTTGATGCTGGGGGTAAGATAACAGCCATCCTAGCTCACTGTCATTGCCCAGTAATAATGATGGTCAAGTTGATTCTGATTTATGACCATCTTTCCAATTCAGTTCCTCAGCCAATGCTAGTACCCTTATTCCCATGAACAGCTCTGTTGCCCTGGTTTGGTATATGTAGAGATCAACATGGAGAGACTGGTGTTACTGGAACACAGGATGATCTTTTAGGGAAGAGATGATGGAAATACTGTACTCAACCGTCCGGTAAGATAAAGGCATTCCATCTGTGGTTGCAGAATTAGGGGTGCCCCTGAAGGATTATTAATTTGGACAATTAACCAGGAATTTCAGGGAGGAACCTGCCACAGAGAACATCAGTAATGCTTTCCCACCCCTCGGCTATTTATAAATTGTGCTTTCGCTTTGCAGGCATCGTGTGTTTATGCAGGCCGAACAAGATTTATAAAGCCCAAATCTTGTCTCCGAGGAAGGGAGAGGGAACCGCCTATCGCATGGACGAGGAAACAATTCAGCGTGAGGCGTAGGGCTGCAAGATGCCAACTACTACATGTTTCTGCAATTTGTTCTGTTCTGTATCCAGGCCAGTGAGTGCAATTAAGATGTCAGCAGATCACTCTGCTCTTCCTCTTTTCTTCCAAGGCAGGGAGCCAGATTTACCTGTGATAGTTCCCCCCCCCCCACTGGTTCCCTAAAAGCACCTCATTGCTATCTCTGTGATTACTCAGTGGGGAGCGGGGTGTCACAAATGGATTTTCACCCAGTAGGACTTGGCCTTTGGACAGAGATGGTGGCTTAAAGCCATGCAGGGAACATGGAAAAGAACGGCATGCAAAAAATGCAGGCGTTTAAAGTGGGAGAACCTCCTTTCCATTAGAAAGTCCAAATGTCTTCCCAAGATCATCTCCAGGTGAGTCAAGGAAAGAATCCAGCTTTGGACTTAAGAGAGGAGCTACTGGTCCACGTTAGTGCTATTGAGTTAAGTCCGTGGTTCCCAACCTTGGGTTAAATTTTCTGACCAATCTAGGTAGGAGCTGAAACCCAGCCAACGTTGTCAGAGGCAGTAAGTAAGTAAGTAAGTAAGTAAGTAAGTAAGTAAGTAAGTAAGTAAGTAAGTAAGTAAGTAAGTAAGTAAGTAAGTAAGTAAGTAAGTAAGTAAGTAAGTAAGTAAGTAAGTAAGTAAGTAAGTAAGTAAGTAAGTAAGTAAGTAAGTAAGTAAGTAAGTAAGTAAGTAAGTAAGTAAGTAAGTAAGTAAGTAAGTAAGTAAGTAAGTAAGTAAGTAAGTAAGTAAGTAAGTAAGTAAGTAAGTAAGTAAGTAAGTAAGTAAGTAAGTAAGTAAGTAAGTAAGTAAGTAAGTAAGTAAGTAAGTAAGTAAGTAAGTAAGTAAGTAAGTAAGTAAGTAAGTAAGTAAGTAAGTAAGTAAGTAAGTAAGTAAGTAAGTAAGTAAGTAAGTAAGTAAGTAAGTAAGTAAGTAAGTAAGTAAGTAAGTAAGTAAGTAAGTAAGTAAGTAAGTAAGTAAGTAAGTAAGTAAGTAAGTAAGTAAGTAAGTAAGTAAGTAAGTAAGAAACCCACTATATTTTTAAACGTGAGCTTTTGTGGACAATCCCACTTCTGTCCTTGCTCTGTGTCTCTGTTGGCTGTGTGCCAGGCAGAAATGGAACAGGTGTAGTCATTACTGTCTGTTACGCTGCTACACCCTGCGGCAGCAGCTCCACCTGTTTATTTCTGCCTGTTAAATGTGGCCATTAGAAGCAAGACTCTTTCCCCTTAGAAACCAAACCAATTGCACATTTATAACCTCATCTACGGTGAAATCTGTGACTTTTAGGCTCTTCTCATGTTGGTGTTTTTTGCAATCGCGCATGCTGCCTTTAGTAGGTTTAGCTGGGGTGGAAAGGACCTTTCCGGGCTGGGATGAGTGTCAAACTAGACAGCACTAACCCATTATTCCTTCACTGCCTCTTGAGTTCAAAGAGAGCCCTGCCTCTCTGCTCAGTGTTTCCCCCCCTCTCCTGAGTCTGTTGAAGTCTGCTGTCGAAAGCAGTCATGTTTTGTCAGTTTGCTGTTTGATCGGTTCACAACTGTATGTAAAGAAAATTGTTTTTTATTCTTTCTACTGCTCATGTCTCAGAGTGAGTTATTGAGATTGTAAGTGCCAGTTGAGGTGGAAAGGGTGATCTACACTGGAGAACTTGAAGCTATTCTGCTTTGTGAATCCTGCATTTCTGCTGCACAGCTGGAGGAAATTAATGAAAAATTCAGAACTGTAGCCTCTCATACTGCTAAATGGCATGGATACTTATCTGGATCCCAACTTCCAGACAGCTGGAGGAAATTAATGAAAAATTCAAAACTGTAGCCTCTCGTACTGCTAAATGGCATGGATACTTATCTGAATCCCAACTTCCAGAAATAAACCATTTTTTTTTTGCAGCCAGCCCTTTCTTCTTGTTTCAGGTTTTTCTACAGTTTTGTCACGATCTTGTTAACCAAGAGATATTCGGCCTAAAGAGCAGTTGACGGTGGATGTACTCTCCTGGAATTTTTGTTCGTAAAGGTGTCTCTGTTTTTCCTGTCTTTCAAAACGCTTTGTCCTAGAGGGATTTGTTCGGCTGTTTGTAAACATCTGGCAGGTTGCCTAGCCATGCGTGATTGCTGTTCGGATTTTTTTTTCCCCTACAAGAAGTGAGAATAGAAATGTATTTTTACAATAATAGTGTTTCTAGATCCCCACTAGGCTAACAAAGCTCCCAAGAAACAGGCAGGGCAGCCATAAACTTTGAGTTAACCACGTGTATTTAAAACATGTGCCTCAACGTGGAAGACAAGACACTGAAGGTGAGACAGACAGACAGATAGACAGACACATAAAGAGAAATTTTCAACTTCTGTTCCATTTCTTAGTGAATTCATTCTTTCTCCCCGCCCCCCCGTCTCTGTTGGTTTTTAGGAAGAAATGAAAACTGTTCCATTCCTGTTCTCCTGCTGTTGTTTTTTTATTTTGGCCCCAGTTTCCCTTCTTTTCCCCAAGAGGAGTTTGGGAGGCGTTCCCAAACAATGCTTTGCATCCCCCCCCCAATTTGTTTTCGAAGAAGTGCATTCAAAGCCCCAGCAGTACTCAAAGGGGCAAAACTATTTCAATCGAGGATAGTTGGTGTGATCCAATATTTTCCCCATGGGGGGTTCAATTAGGGTTCAAAGCTCCAAAGGATGCCATGTACATGTTAATGAACGGGCCGCTGTCCCTGCCTTGTTAACATATTTTCAAAAGCACAGGCAAATTGATGAGCCGCTGATCGTAAGAACATAACAAGCAGTTCCCAGATTGATCTGCTCAGTGATCACAAGGCACAACTAAATTAGATTTTGGCCAGAGTGAAATCTTAGGTCTAAATTCAGCCTAACAGTAGACTGGCTGTCATGTTAGCAATGGGGGGGTCCTTCCATTACTGCAGCCTTTAGAGTTGCCTGATTTGGGGGAGGCATATGTCCTCTTTTAATAGAGGGCTGCTAGAGCACAATCCTCCTTTTGAAAATGGTGTCATCAAGAGCATCCAGGCAATGCAAATGGTACTGCTTATATACCACCGCATAATGCTTAAAGCTGTTTCTGGGCGGTTTGCGATCTAATTCTGCATTGCCTCCCCGGCATGTGAACTGGGTACTCAATTTACCGACCTCAGAAGGATGGAAGGTTGAGTCAACCTCAATCTGGCTACCTGAGCCTAACTGGGGCCGTGAGCAGAGTCTTCACTGCAACACTGCAGTTTAACC